ACAACTAAAAAAGTTAATTTCAGTCACAGAGTAATCTTCTGAGGCCAAAAGTCCATCTAAATGCAATGAAGATTTGCTTTCATTAAAGACAGAGGTGATGACAAAATCTGCAGTGGAAGTTATGATATGCTAGAAAGCAACAAATGTGGATCACTGACCAAAACAATTATGTACTTGATGCAAATGCAGATTGCATATTGTTATATATAGAGTACTTTGTGTTTTTGTTTTCCCTCATTCAGTCAGTTATTTTCAGTGGTGAATACATGTTGTTAGAAGATGTCTTGTATGGTCTTAATCTTTGTTGTGTACTATTTTTTTATAGTCTTAAGTTATAATGAAAAAACAAAAAGTAGGAACCAAACATAAAAGGTCTAGTAAAGCCAAAAATTAATTTCATATTGATTTTAAAGTGATCTAGCTGAGTTTTTACACTGAAAGCAAAGATTATAGCAATTGTAGTCCATGGTATTTATTTTCAGTCAAACCAAAGTTACATATAATTCTGCCTCTGCTTATACGGGATATTAACACTAACAATACACTCCCTACAAAGACTTGCGCAGGCCAAATTGTTGGAATGCTGGTTTTCTTGACAACTCCAAACCCCAAAACTATGATAATGCGTTATGGTGTAGTTGAAAATAGCATAGTCAGATGTTTGCTTAAAAACTAGAAACTTTACGTGTTGCTTTTCATGTGCTGTGCCAAGTCTTGATAATACTTTTTCCCCCAACCAAGGGACCTCATAACCTGATTATGGTTATTGCTTTACAAACAGTTTTGACAGAAGGTGGCTGCTAGAGCTTAACATACCCGTTCCATGTGATGGAACCGGTTCTTGCAAACTAAGCTCATCATTGATTCTTTGCTGAAGTCAGCAAATAGAGTTAGCGAGATACCCAGTCATCTATCACACCAAATAAAAGGACATAACGGCTTTCAAAAGGGTTTTCCCACTTACCCAAAAGGCTTTCTGAAAGCTTCTACCTCTGCAAAAAAAAAAAAAAAAAAAAAAAAAAAAAAAAAAAAGAAAAAAATTAGAACAATTATGGCAGATTGCATGAAACGTGAGAACGTCACAGTAACTGCTACTTTTCATTATGTTTGTCTTTGGGTCATGATCAACGAACCGGAAGTTTACAATATGGTATCAAAAGAAAGATGGGTATTGTGAAGGATGGTTTTCAGTCATCTAGGATCCTGCTGTAAGGATTCTCTAAAGGGAAAATGGGTCTTTCAGGTGCATGTTCAAAAGGCTTTGATGGACTGGAAGTAACTGTGAGAGTTGTACCATCAGGAGGGTGGCCTAAGACTACAATGCTAAAGTATGCATACCTCAGTTACAAAACTTTTGAAAGGAAGTCTCAGCCACAGAATGCATATACCTGTAGAGTTTTGCATGGGTTTTATATGAATACAATTTTAAAAAATAGCTGCTTGCACATTATACCAGAAAAACCTCCAAAACTGCAATTGCTTTGAAAATAGATTTTAGGTTTTTTGGAGTTTTCTGAAATGCTTGGTCTGTATTTTGATAATTGTGCATATTATGTAAAAATGTTGGTGGACCCATAAATGACCAGACTTTTTCTAAGAAAAATGTTGCTTTAATGCATTTCATGAATTTTTACTCTTATATCATTGCTTGCTAGGAATAGCAAATCTGCTTTTCTGCATCTGCTTTGCGTAGCTATTGTAAGGCTTTGAACTAATGTATGTATTTATTGCTTGAACTTCTGTGCATACCTTATAAAGCATAATGTCTGACAATTTAAATGGCTCATGTATTCTTGCTTCTATCATAAGCTGATTATGGGGACTATGATCTTTTGTATACAGCAAATTTTAAACTGTAGCACAAACATCTGTTTATGTATTGGTGGAATATACCTGTTTTATTTATCTTTTTTGAGGTAAACTAATTTTTGATACTTTTCATTACTGTGTACTATGTTCATACTTTGAATTCTCTGACGTTAGAAGTCATGGTTGAGAATTGTAACAGCTGTTATTCGTTCTGTATTCATGGCTTTCACTGCTGAATAAAATAAAGGACCAAACCTAGGATTTGAAAGAAAACTGTCTACCTCTAACACCAGGGAGTTATCAGATTTTATTTTACATAGTTTTAGTCTACAAAGACACAATTGCTTAAACCTAGTGGGCTTAAGGCTTATATTCTATGTGGTTGGATTCATGGCACAGTTGTACTGTTTGAAAATCAATTAAAATTTTATGTGAATGTTACAAGTATTTGGTAGAATTACCACTAACTGGGTTTTCTTTAGATAACTCAGATTTGGAGAAAATGTCATCAGCATTCTGTGTCTACAGCTGCTTAACTTCATAAGAATGCATTTCTTTGTGATTAGGGAATCGAAGAATAGTCAGCTAGGAATAGAGCTACAGAAGTACACTTAAAATAAACCATCCTGGACTTTAATGTCCCTGGGCAGATTCAGTCACAAAATCCAATATGATATTTTGTAAAGTTTTCAAGTTGGGCGTTTACACTTTGGAGAATTTATGAGGCTTCATCTTACACATGCCAATATTAATGCATATTTGGACAATAGCTTTACTAATGCCATAAAGCTATTGAAAGGAACATGGCTTACTCTTTTATTTCACTAGTTCAGGTTGCAATACAAGGGTTTTTTTTGTCCATGAACACTTGGCAAATTTTATTTAGCAAAAAAGAAGGATGTACATTTTACTATAGAATTAATGTATGAACAGTGTGTCACTGCTGTTGGATGTAAAAATGTATATGAAACCATTTCATTCACCTGACTACATTTCTGAAGTATAAATAAAAAAATCTAATTCTTTTTGACCCATTTATAACCACTAGGATTTTATTCTTTCGGAGAGACCATTCTTCCATGCCAGAGCCAAGTCATAAATTTGTGTACACACATCCCACAATTTGTTTAAAATCATTTCCTTAGGAATTGGGGATTCATAAACCAGACTCAAATTTAGTCAATAAAGGTGGGGGCTGCCTGTCAAATGCATTCCATTTAAAACTATCTTCAGGTTCAAAATTACCTCCCCACACAATCATCTCATGTATTTATGTTTTTATTCTGACAGAATTTGACATCATAAATTCTGAACCTTAAAAAATGCCAGGGGAAAACATGAATACTCTTTTTAACTTTATGACTTTTTTCATTTTATCCTCTTTTTTATTGTTATTATTATTATTATTATTATTGCCTCTAAATATCAGTCACACCCATGGCATCCTGCCATGGTTCAGGGGAATGTACAGGAATAGAGTAAGTAGCTTTCCAAGGGAATGCATTTTAGGATATTAGTGATCCGTTACAGACCTATATTAGTGACAAAACCAGGCAAGATAGAATCTTTGTATAAGGAAAATTTACCTGTTTTTTAAATCTCAATATATATTTCTAAAGCTATCATAACCAGGAGTAAAAGGAAAATGAATATGTTGAGTATATTTTTATTTTATGCATAATTTAATGTTCTCTGTCATCCTAGTGAAAGGATACCCTGACTAAAGAGCTTTCCACAGGATAAAAAATTATTTAAAAGAAATGTGAACATGAGATTAATTTTTTTGAACCTTAGAATTCACTTTTTTACTATCAATTAGTTAAAAGTAATGATTAACAACTTGTCCTGTCCAGAATATTTTGTGAACTTACTAAAGGCTATATAATAAGATGTGAATCCAGTCCTGGTATTTTTGGTGATATAGGGAGAACAATTTAAAGATTAAAACTAACAAGAAAGAAGTAAAACTGATTTGGTAAATGTTTTATCCCTGAACCTAAATTCAAACTCAAGTCATCCTATAGTTTAAAACACTGTGTCGCCCAGATATATTGTGTTGTCAGTGGAGGATTCATCTGCTTTACAAAAAGTTGGTCACTAAAAAATTGCTTCTGAATTTTTAAAAAGAAAAGAAATGCAACTTAGAATCTAACTTAGCAGACTAGAAATACAAATGGCAAGTCACATTGTAACTATTTCCCTGGACGGGAGTAATGAAAGCTAAGCATCCAACTCCTTACCTTTTCAAATCTTTTACAAAATGATATTAAGACAAATTCTAACATTCAAATGCTGATGAACAAAAAAGAACCTAAGCTACATTTTTTCACTGTTTTTCAGTTTTTAAACTGCATAGAAAACTTTTTAAACACTGGGGCACACAATAATTGCAAGGGAATGTGTAACTTGAGAAAATAAAGTGTGGCATCACCCACAATTTGACATATTGCTCCTTTTACCCTCCCCATGTTCAGTCACCATCAACACAGCCTCAAAGGAACCAGATGACACCGTAGCAAATGGAAATATCAGCAGTAGTGAGAGAATTAAAGAGTTCATGATTTTCTGGGAAATTTGTACCTTACAAGTGACTCTGCTGTCTACATGCTTTTGCACGCACACACACAAACTTGCCTTCAAAAGAAAACAAAATCAAAACCTTAAGTACCAAATGTACATTGTTGATTTCATGCTCTATTTTGAAGGTTTACTTAAAAGTCCTTGTTATAAATATCAGCCAATCTGTTTTCTAAAGTTGAAGCTGCTCTTATGCCCTAATCGCATGAGTCTTTAGTTTCCAACACTCCCGAAGAAAATAAAAATGTCTGCATTACAGGAATTGACCCTCCCTTCATATTTTAGTTTCATTGAGGTCAAAGATTTGATAATGAACATTCACATTCAGAGGGTAGGGTGAACAAAAAGAAGGAAAGAAAATGAAAAGAGTTATTAAAGAAAATGTTCCTGCTATGACCAGACGTATATGTGTTTTTTCAACTCTTCATGTCATGATTGTAAAACTGAAGAGGTCATCGATTTGAAACTGGACTAGCAAGATGATTCCTTTCTCAACCACTTGTAGTGATAGCAATTTGCTATTGCCCTGTGGAAATTGTGCAGAGCAGCATGCATGTTCCCATATTAATACCCAGGGATGTTGATATAATGCAAAGCCCCTAAGCCACTATTCTCTTCATCCCTGTGGAAGCAGCGACAGAACACCTGACCTGGCCTCACTACTTAACTTTTCTTTAAATATACTGAAATATATTAAATTAACATTTATAAATTGCCAATCCTCTTTGATCAAATGTTGGGGGGGGGAGACTCACAAGAAGTCTCAGGAAAAAGTTATAAAATTAAAAAATGACATTTCTTCTAATATGAGGTTACTATGATCATAAATTCACCCATCTTCTATAAGCCAAAATAGAAGCTTTTCATAAAAATTTTAAAAAGCTAAGAAATATTTGGCACCAAGTTGAGTCCTTGGAATTGAACTGTACACCAATATTTAAATGTTTTATTTAGTGCCCTTCACCAAAGAAAGGAGCTCTAGATAGCTAATCCACAAGACACCAAATCAACAGAGCCTCAATAGAAATATTTCATTTGGTAATTTAGACCTATATGCTGAAAATCTTATAATAATATCAAAAGCTTGCTAACAATGCTGTGCATTTCTTTCCAGTCTTGGCCTCTTTGAGAATAGAGATTAGTTCAAAGATAATTTTTTTAAAAGATTGCAAAGAATTAAGCAAATGAATTTTAAAACCATTTTACAGATTATACTATGAAAAGCTATGTGAGCCTCATGCAATAATCCAACATGTTTGATTGTTCTCAGTCTCAGACACCTGGATCTCTTTCTTATTCACCCCTATTGAAGGTTTAATGCTCAATCTGATACATAATCAATTATTTGTGTTATCTGACAATACTTATTTCACCTTTAACTTTTCCATCATTTTAGAAATAGTCTTATGGTAGTCTCTACTACAAAATGGGAATATTTCATTAATTTTCTCCTCTACACAAATTATTAGCTATTATTACATAATGTATGCGGAAAGGGTAGTCTTGGGCAAATAATCGTTAATATCCTAATTTTCTAAAGGAGACGTTTTGGCACTGTGTTATTTCTCGTGTTTAGAAAAATTATTGGATCCCTTGAAAAGCACATATCAAAGTTTGAGAGACGGTCACATTAAGATCAGGCATCAAAAGAGGCTTCAAGCACCTTGGCAGAAGGTATATGACATATTAGCTCATATTTCCAAAAAATCTAATTAAATCAAGAGAAAAAGGTTTTAATACTGTATGCTAAAGAATTCATATATTATGGCTTGAACAAAAGACTTCAGCTTCTCAGTCACTTCCTCTTCCAGCTATAAATTAGGTTCTTAGTGCTGGCAGCACGGTCCCCGCCTTCTGGGCCAGAGTGCCGTAAGACTCTCAGGGAACTCAGATCACAAGTGAAGTCAGCCTCCAAGGTGGAGAGTGACAGCTGGAAGAAACTCTAGTCTGTCCATCTGTCTGTCTCTCTTTTCAAATGGGAAAAGGACTGTGTAACCCTAGGTGACACTGAACATTGACCCAAATTCCTATGGAAAATTCCATGATTCATCCTACTTTCACTCCCTAGCCTAAATGATCAGACAGGCAGAACTCATTAATGACAATCTTATCTGCAGGACTCTGGCCACATTTATTTCATTTGACATTATATTTCCAGGGTCTAACACAGTGTCAGGCACATAGTAGCTGCTCAAGAAAAATTCGCTGAATAAACATTTGAATGGATAATATAAATATACTTCTCACCCTGTGTTTTGTGATGGTTTTTCTACTTGTCTTTGAATTCTGAGATCTTTTGAGATAGCTGTTGGTACATGCAATACAGTAAGCACTTGATGAATCAATGAATCAACAAATCACTGAGGAAACTGGCCAGGTGGTAGAGAATTGCTCAAAGGAAAAAAAGACATTCTATAAAAAAGACATCTGCACTCAAATGTTTATAGCAGCACAATTCACAATTGTAAATATGTGGAAACAACACAAGTTCCCATCAATCCATGAGTGGATTAATAAAATGCGGTATATGTATACCATGGAGTTCTACTTAGCCACAAAAAAACAATGGTGATCTAGCACCTCTTGTATTCTCCTGGATAGAGCTGGAGCCCATTCTAATAAGTGAAGTATCACGAGAATGGAAAAACAAGCACCACATGCACTCACCAGCAATTGGTATTAACAGATCAACACTTAAGTGTACATATAGTAATAACATTCATTGGGTGTGGGGCAGGTGGGAGGGGGATGAGTGATGGGTATATTCACAGCTAATGGGTGTGGTGCGCACCGTCTGGAGGATGGACATGCTTGAAGCTCTGACTCGGATGGGGCAAAAGCAATACATGTAACCTAAATATTTGTACCATCGTAATATGCTGAAATAAATAAATAAGGTCTTATTACTTCTAAGTCCTTTCTTCTGTCTCTTCCCCTCAAATGATTTTTATATGGTGACATCCCTCCCAGCTACCATTAAGATATATGTATTCACCTATAATAAAATTGGCTATTAACACCTTCAAAAAAGAAAAAAAAAAGCCTTCAGCTTCTCATAAACAATTATATTGAAACCCATTAGGAGGTTAGTAGGTAGCAACTTTAGTAATCACTGTAACTACACTCAAAAGGTGGATTTTAAGTCAATAAGCTTTATTTTCTGATGGGGCCACAAAAAGCATCCACTCACTTGCCTTTTGACTTTTAGGAAAATACAGTATTGAAAAATTTAAATTTTTTGTGACTGAACTAATCTCTAGCCTGGTTCGGTGTGCGAGCCTCCCTATTCCACCTTGTTGGCAAGAGAGCTTTGGTGGGGAGCTAACCAGCTGGGATGTGTCTAACAGTGCAATTGAACATAGGATCCAGGCCTGAAATAGAAACTGGTTTCATGTCATCTGCCAACTCTGATGCAGAGTGGCTGCCTGGAGTGCCTGACACATAGTAGACGCTCAATAAATACCTGATGGATTCTGAGGCCATATCCTCATTTTACAAGAAAATGTCCCATCACGTACTGGTGAATTCTGCCATGGGACAGGAAAGGGAGTAGGACATGAGGTCCTCTGGCTTGCCAATCCACTTTTGGTCTCTCAGTGGCAATGAGACCAGAGAAGTGTTCACACTGTGGTCCAAAACCCTGAGGGTTACTCAAGGATGGGATCCATGAATTGTGAATAATTTTGAATCGGGATGTTTAGGACTAAAACAGGTTAAGTAGAATGTGTAATTTGTGAAAATTTTACATTTGGTGAATTTCTGTTATACCTAAAGCCCCAATTGTTGTGCTTGGTACACACTCAGGGACTATCCAAAATTATTCCATTCTTAAGGAACTGAGACACATAGTAAGTTGCATATGGAGGCTCTTTCAGGGAAAGCTGAACCTTTTAGGGCTGCAGGATGGTTTCCTACAGCCCTGCGGGAGTTGTAGAGTCCACGGCACAGGTCACAGCACTCCACAGCTGGCCATGACAGTCCTTGCCTATCAGCACCGTCTCCCTCCACCTTTCCCTGTCCTGCCTGATGCTATCTGTGCAGCTACAGGTGGGGTCCCCTCTGCCTGCTGCTGTAACCCCTCCATCACCACTGGGGTCTCTGGGAAAACTGCCACCACATAGCCGCCTCTCTCGACAAGATCCTGCCCTGCCTCTGCCCCCATTGTCTCTTTCTGGAATAGAAGAATCTCCGCCATTGTGTTAAACTGCATTTTAACACAGGCATTTTGTAGCCAACAGCTGCAAGACAAACCTGAAGTTACCCATATTGTCATAGAGATAAAGCTCTCTTTCATTTGACTGACCCTTTTGGGTTATTACAACCTCGAACCTTCCCCTGTCCTTAGGAGCTTGGCTTCTCTTCTCTCAGAGACAGGACTGGGTCTGAGGGTAACTTGACTATTTCTAGGTAGAGAAAAAAAAACCACTTAAATGATAATAAAACTTTAAATACTGCAATGATACCACAATGATATTTCTGTCTCTTTCTCAACTTTTTAGTCCCTTCTCAGATCATGTTTGATGGCCCTGGCATCTTCTCCCTCCACCATCATCACCACCCTCTTATCAAAAGTCTCGGTCACACAAGTAAGCCAAACGTTTCATCTGTGTCTGTTATTAGGCCCCAAGGAAAATAAACTCCTCTCCCTCAAGAAACCAACACTAGCAGTCACAGGTATGTCCAAGTTGAACAGACAGAATAAGCTCACTCTACCCCCTCGCTCTACCATTCTAGGGCAGATGTGTGGAAAAGGATTTCTGACTATGTATTACCATTAGCCTGAGGGTTGATGCTAAGGTCCCCCTCAGACCACCTTGCCACCACCCTTTTTCCTCCTTACCATTCTCACATCAGTACTCGGGCTCCTCAGAGCTAAGGTGAAGGGTTGGCCAGGGTTTGCTCCCTTGAAAGATGTAGGAGTTTGATTCCAACGTGACTCTCAGTGCAGCTGTCCAAATATGTTGTCGATATATCCAGGAATCAGACTTCAGGAGCTGATGCTTTAAGAACCTTGTAAAATTCTTCACCCCTCTAGTTGAGATTACCTATCTAATGCTCATTTTAGATGTGAAATGAGTGCCTGCTCTAAGACTCAGCAATCGCATAGGATCTTACCAGAAACAAGTAAGCCACAAAATCCTAAATAGCAATACCAGCAAATGTAACAAGGGAACTTGAAGGAAGTTTCAGGCCTATGGACTAGGTAGCAAACTATCACATAATTTCCCTTATTGACACTTTTTGGAAAAAAAACATATTGAGTAGAAAAAAAAATCGCTCTCATCCAAGTTAACATGTCCTATCTAAAAATGGTGTGTAATTGAATCAAGGAAGCCAGCCCAGCACATGGGTGTGGAAGGCATTGAACTAGGTCTCTGGAGACACAGCTTCTACTGTGATTCTTTCACTGATTCAGTGGGTTGCCTTGGACAGATTACTTCACCTTCTGGGTCACAGTCTGTTCATCTGTTTAGGAAAAAAAAAAAAAAAGGTGCTTCAACAGATGCCCTTGAAGGTCCCTTTCAGCTTCAACATCATCTGATTCACTCTCTTAAAAATCTAAACCTGATGACTAAATTCAGTAATCATGATCTAAGAAATTATTTTTTCAAAAGGTAAAAAGAAAGCAAATGTGTGCGGCTTTCAAGAGCTAATCAATATCCAACTTCAATAAATAATGAGTAATTTGTTCTGATTGAGGGAAGCTGGCTTGGAATGAGGAGACTGGATGACTCAGAATCACAAATTTTGGTTTCTGAGCTATTTCACCACTAATTGGCTGTACAGCTATGGGTCAAAATAGCTGGCTGTGCCTTTTTACATTGAGAGTGCTGTGAGAAAGAGAGGGAAAAAAACTAGATAAAGGAATGGGGTAGAACATGAAGGCAGGAGGAGGAAAAAGTCACTGGCGGGCTGGTCGGGAATGATTCTGAATCCGCCCGCAAAAGCCTGAGGGTTTCCTAGTCTCATAGTCAGGTTCCTTAATTGCGGAATGGGAGTGATGAGAATGCCTACTTTACAAGACTTCTGGACAAAAGACTTAATTAGTCATTTCACTCATTTGTTCAACAAATACTTATTTGGTGTCCTCAATGACAAACCAGATCCTGCTCTGCTGCCCTTGTAGGAGCCCAGCAGCAAACAAAGCCCAGCAGAGAGCCCTACCCTCAGGGGACTCGCTTCCCAATTAGTATAAAAGGATCATAAGTACATGAGTACTAGGCAAGGCCTCACGCGTAGGAATTGCTCAAAAAGTGTTAATGCCACTATTACTTTTAAGTGAAGGAAGAAATAGATAACGTTTAAAAATGTATCCATCAGAAACTTACTTGCATAGGAGATGACTTTTCAATATTAATCAGTCATTTGCTTTCTGTTCCATTGTTCTCCTTTTTCTTTTCTTTTTTCTCTTTGGTTTGTTCTCATTAAATATACCCAATTCGTAGGTTGCCTGTCCACTGACAGAAGGGGGAAAAGACCAAAGTATAAAGAAAAAGGATATAAATGGAAATTTGGTTGAAGAAAATGCAGGATCATTGCCTCCCTTTTCCCACAGGTAGTGGGAGTGGTCCATTGACCTCCGCTTGTAATTTTCTTTCAGATCTACTTTTATGGTCCACACCTACTATGCTTATCTGGGCTTTCCCTTTTGTGTTTCAAGAGTCCACTTGGGAAGCCAATATAAAACATTAACTATTTATTTCTCTTTGGAATTGCTGCCATAGCAATCTTAATTTTACTTCGGGAAATGTGGGTTCCTGGTTGAGTGGAGAAAAAGAAAAGTCTAACAAACTATAGACCAACGTTAATATTTTAAGACATTTTGCTACACTTCAATTGTATTTGTAATTTATTTTAGAATTTTCTAATACAAATAATATGGTTTATAATATATGTGGGTAAATTAATTTTACTAGATTCTAGATGTTGGGTCAGATAATATTTTAAGTTCCTTATTCAGTAACCCTACTCCAAAGATGGGGCAGTTAGCTTTGGAATAATGTAATCAGGTGTTTATAGAAAAAAAACAAAAAACAATAAAACCTCCAGAGGTGTTTTTAATAAGCACTTGACATAGCATTATCTAAATCTGCTTCAGGAGGTTTGCTAATTAGCAAAATGAATAGGAAAAACTTTTTATTAGAGGAGTGTGTAGATTTCAAATGTGTTATTGAATAATACAAGAGGTGCTATATCACCATTGCTTTTTGTGGCTGAGTAGAACTCCATGGTATACATATACCACATTTCATTAATCTACTCATGTATTGATGGGCACTAAGTCAAGTATCACAAAAATGAAAAACAAGCACCACATGTACTCACCATCAAATCGGTATTAATTGATCAACACTTATGTGCACATATAGTAATAATATTCATCTGGTGTCAGGCAGGCGGGAGGTGGGAGGAGGGGATGGGTATATTCACACCTAATGGGTGTGGTGCACACCGTCTGGGGGATGAACACGCTTGTAGCTGTGACTTGAGAGGGGCAAAGGCAATATATGTAACCTAAACATTCGTACCCCCATAATATGCTGAAATTTAAAAAAAGAAAAAAATGTGATTGGTTAGAGAAAAAATAATGTACAGGCCCTTCTGCCCTTGTAGAAAGAACTCAAGCCATCACTATAGCATCTTTTGAGTGGCACCAAATCCCTTTGGATCTGTGTAACACTACTTACCAGAAGATTCTTGTGGTGGTCTAAATGTTTGTGTCTTCCTAAAATTCACGTCAAAATTCTACTCCCCAAGGTGATAGTATTAGGAGGAGAAGCCTTTTGGAAGGTGATTAGTACACACAGGTGGAATCCCCATGGATGGGATTTGTGACCTTATAAAAGAGGCCCTTGGGAGATAGACAACCCTTTCCACCATGTGAGGACACAGTGAGACATCAGCATCTTTGAGACAGGGAGTGAGCCCTTACCAGACACTAAATCTGCTGGCACCTTGATTGTGGACTCTTCAGTCTCCAGAACTGTAAGAAATGAATGTATGTTGTTGATAAGCCACCTAGTCTAACTTATTTTGTTATAGCAGCACAAATAGACTAAGAGAATTCTCTTGTTCATTCTACTAGAAGGTTAACTGATCGTGTCCTCTGAGTGCATGTAATGCCTGGCTCTTATCAGAGTGCCCAAAATGCCAGAGAGTGGGGACATCCCTGACCTACAAGAACTGGCTAGAGAATGTTGTGTCTGTTTGGTAATAGAGGCATGTTCTTGAGGCAGAATTTAGTGTAAGACTCATTTTCATTATAATATACAATTAACCAGGGCAGAGGGGTTGTGGGATAGGAACATTAATGGCATCATCTCTACATCAAGGGCATCTAAATGTCACTTACCTTGACAATGGGTAAAAATCATGCATAACATGGCATTCACAGTGGGCAGTAATAAAGTGTGACCTAAGATGCTCTCATTAACTTTTTATTAAATATGTAATCAAAAGTGTAGTTTATTATATCTCAAACAAGAAGCAGTACAATTAATTAAAGTATGCACCTAAACTATCCACACAGTTTTGCCATCTTAACAGTAGCTTGTTTATGCTAGTAGCCAAGAAGCCTGAAGAGTGAGTGGCAATGAAATCACGAGAGGCATTTTCCACAGCTTGGTGAGAATTGAGTATTTTTCCTTGCAAGAAGTGGTCCAAAGCCTGGAAGAAGTGGTAGTCAGTTAGTGCAAGGTCTAGTGAATATGGTGGATGGCAGAGAGTTTCCAGGTCCAGGTGCTGTAGTCTGAATAACGTTGTTTGTGCAGCATGTGGCTGAGCATTGTCTTGCAAGAGGATTGATTGGCCTGTCTCTATTGACCAGTCTTGGCTGCTTAATTGCAAGCATGCTCATCATGTCATCCAGTCGGTTGCAGTAGACATCCACTGGCATCCATTTACCAGGTTTCATGAAGCTGTAGTGCGTGGGACCACCAAACAAACACCATTAGCTTTTTTGGATGAATATTCAGTTTTGGACTGTGTTTCAGCACTTCACCTTTATCCAACCATTGTGGCAAATGCTTGAGAATGTCAAAAAGAATCCATTTTTCATCATAGGTAACAATACAATGTAGAAATTATTTGCCTTTATGTGGCGACAGCAAAGAAAGGCAAGCTGTGAGATGATTTCTCTTCTGATGCTCATTTAATTCATGCAGAACCCATCTATCCGGCTTCTTTACCTTGCCCATTTGTTTCACAAGGTCATGAGGGTCAAATGGGGGAGGGGCGCTGAGTGGGGGAAGGGCAGGAGTGGCAGGAGGCCCAGTTCTTATTTGCTTGTGAAGCTTCATTCTGGGTCTAGCTGATGTTTAAAACTGACTTTTCACTTTGGGGACTTGTCTTAGCCTGTTCAGGCTGCTATAGCAAACACGCATATACTAAGGTGGTTAATAAACAGCAAAAATTCATTTGCTCACAGTTCTGATGCTTGGGAAGTCCAAGATTAAGGTGCCAGTAGATTTGGCATCCAGGAAAGGGCCGTCTCCTAGTTCATAGCCAGCCATCTCCTCGCATGGCTGAAGGGGCACGAGAGGTTTCTGGGGTCCTTTTACAAGAGTGCTAACCCCATTCAAGAGTGCACCACCCTACACCCTAATCACCTCCCCAAAGCTTTGACTCTTAATACCATCATATTGGGGGTTAGGATTTCAACATAGGAATTTGGGAGACACAAATATTCAGTCTATAACAGGACCCTTTTGAAGACCCTATTGGACCTCCCTTTTGCAGTCACTTTTCAAACCAAACAAGCAAACAACAACAAAAAAATCTTCTCCATTTGAAGTGGCTGCCTGTTGCTCCTTCCACCAAAGCATTCTTCTTCAAGCATCATACTTCCATGTTCTGGCAGGACCCCAACAACCCCACTTTGGCTCTCCTGCATAGCCCAGATTTGGTCTATGGAAAACATTCTTATATCCATTTGCCAGACAGACACTAGCTGGGAGGCCCTTTACAACTTTGCTAGCAAAGCAATAAGCCCTTTCAGCTCCCTCACTCTTCCCGCAGGGAGTCAGGCTTGAGTCCGTAGTGTGTCAGGCTTGTGTCTGGGACCACACCTTTTGGTCTCCCAACCACAGGAAACACATGTAAAAGTTCTTGGCACTGTCTCCGGAGGCCTCCCTACTAGGCTTCAGGTGAGAAGGCGGCAGCTATCCTTTACCATCTCTTTACCAATCACTAAAAACTGTCAGCTTGAACATGCTATTGGAGGAGCACATTGAAGATGTTAACTAAAACAGGGATTCCTAGTGGAGGAGCCAATTGTGGAAAGAAAGAAGAGAGCCCACTTGTGAACATAGTACAGAGCAGTCAGTGGCAACCCCTCCTTTTGCACAAGCAGCTGGTGGAGTCCCTGAGTGCTTTGTCACAGGACATGCCAGCTTTTCCCTTCAAAGCTCTTTGTCTCAGTGACCCATCAAACCTCACCGGTACACATGGTTTGATAAAGGAGAACAATAAGGAAAACTTGTTCAGGTGTCTTCTGGCTTCACATCAAGCCAGTTCCCCAGAGAGTCTGAATCACACTGTGGTGACTTCCCCCGTCAGTGGCTGAGTCAGCCTTTATTTCTGCAGTTCCCCAGGCGTGCCCCACATTCTGGCCGCTCTGACACCTGCAGCAGCCACTGTTGGTGGTTTTTATCTTTGCCCGTGGTTTGTCTCACCCTGCCTGACCCATCCTGTCTGTGTTTGTGGGGATGAGGTCCGTCTCTGCTTTCCCTAAGAATGATTTCTCGGGCTGCAGATTGCCCTTTTGGACTCATCGTCTATCTCCATACCTGGATGATCAACTAGAAGCAGTCACCTTTCAACCCCTTGTTCTACCCTGGGCTTTCAGCCCAAGCCATCCTCATTAAATTCCAACTGCTGCTGCCCAAGTCCTGGTTATACATGTCGTTACCTTTACTCAAGAGGGAGGGATATGATTCCAGAAAGCCAACCCGGGGAGTCAGCCGCATGTCTTGCAGTGGGGATGAGAGGTAAATCTGCATGAGCATTTGTTCTTTTGGTTTCAGTGACACCAAATTATAGGTGACTCCCAGCAGAGTAAGGACATTATAAAAGTTAAGAACTTGGTATTTACTTTCTTGAGCAGTAGTTGACTCTACTGGGAAGAATTTCAGAAAAAGTAAAAATCCAAGCTCATCGGATGTGTTCATCTGCAAACTATGACAGCATGTGTTAAATATCACATCATCCTTTTCACTGATTACTCCACATTCATGTCTAAATAGAAAGTGCCAGGATGTTTACAAGGTCATGTAAGGTGACACCATCTTATCTGCTCTCAAGAAGGTAAAAACTTACATTTAAGTGCTGAACACTCAAGGAATTAATAATACATCTGCCTTTAATATTAAATCTCTGTTGTAGTGGAAAACCACTTAAACTATCCTTGACAGAGTTGACAAATATATTTTGAAAATCTTATTTTCAACTCTTTTAATTCTCACTGAGATTCTCCATGTGCCTAGGCAGTGTCCTAGGCAGGTTTTCATATGTTGACATATTTGATACTCATAACCAATCTGTGATATAAGAAATGTCCCCATCTATCAGAGGATGAAATGGAGAGTTGGCAAGGACTACAATGACATCACTGATATCACAGAATTAATAAACAAAGGAGCTAAAATTCAAAGGCTTACACATGAAGTGCCAGTTCAATTTTGTACATAGAGACATTTTAATGGAGGAATGATAATAAATTATCATTTGAAGTTGAAATTCTGACATGCTAAGTTTACCTGGATTACAGAACTGTTACATGCAATATCTGCAGGAAGTAATTGCAAGAACATGTGTTTTTAGAGGCCAAAATGTCCATATTTTTATGACAAATATGGCTGTTTTTAAATGTATTTGTTTCTTTTGGGTCTGCCTATTTTCCCAAATGATTGGAGGCCACAGCATAAGTGTTGTTTTTTGGCCTTCAAAGAATCAAGGTGCAATAGTTTTGACATTACTTAATAACATAATATGTTAGATGGGCTACGAAAACCTTAGTGGCAGCTGTGATATGACTAATTATTGGAAAGCAAAATATTCAGACCCTGTGGTTTATAGTTATTGTTCTTTTAGAGGTGAAGAGTCTCATCTCACAAAACTTCCAGTGACTCAGACATTAAGCCAATATCTGGCAAATGCCTACTTGAAGGGATAGTTCTTGAAGTCAGAGGCCACCTATCTTAGTCATCCTCAATACTCAGAATTAACACTGTGCCTCGTGCAGATAGGCACTCAGTAAAATTAATCACAGTCAAATGATGCGGTTTAATGCAAACATATAGGCCTTTTCATCAAAAGTTTTTTTCTTTTTATTACTAAAACTATTTTTATTATCCTCTATTTCTTTTTCTCTTTGTTTTCTATTTTGTGTGGTGTTTGCAGGTATAAAAAGCCATGGATCAGTTGGCTAGCTTAATTGAAAAATGTTTTGAAGAGAAAAGTTAAAAAGCAAAACAAAACATATTGAAAACCATTTTCATACCAATTTTTTTCCCTCTGTTAGTTCAGTTGTAAGAAATAGAGAACAAAAGCATTACCAACCTAGGCTTTAGCGGAAACATAATTGCTTACACATCCAAATACATCAGCCAAGTTTGCAACACGCGATTAGGCAGCCAATTGTGTTGAAAATGTGCTTGCTCATTCAGAGGAGACCACGCCCCAGGGCTCACCCACTTGCACCTCCTCAGTCCTGGCATTCAGTTAGCACCAGTCCACTCCCATTAACCACTTGTTGAAAATATAATGGGGCTACTAGGTAGTAAGGATCATTTGGGTATAAATGAAAGAACCAATATCTTCAACAAATCCCATCTTAGGCCAGGAATATCACTCTCTCTAGCATAGTATCTAGATATTAATATCCTAGTATCTCTAGTAGTTTCTTTCTATCAAATAACAGCTATGTGCCAGTAGTTTCTGTCTGTCATAAACAGCTATGTGCCAGGAACTGTGCACAGGGCATTATCTTTAAAAACATACGATGTCACAGGGATACATCAAAGCTTATTATTTTTTTTTTAGTCTACATGTCACATGAACAGTCACTCAATTTGAAAGAAAAGCCAGGTCTCATTGTATATATGTCTTCAGGCAT